AATGGCATTAATGAAAAAGTACTGATTATACAATTATGAATATGAAGATTCTGCAATGTATATTACAGAAAATATATGCTTCAAAATTATTAAATCTATAACTATAATAATGCTTCACATTATGTATTAGAGGCACAATGACAGGATTGCCACTCGAACAGGAATATGAAATTCCCCGACTTTTCCAGGTGCATTTTAAGAAAATTCCAGTCTATCCAGGTAATGCACGTTGGCTGTGTTAAGAGGTAAATTAATTATGGTACCACTTGAAAACACAAAAATTTGCCAATTACATATGACTTATATCTTTACTATATGTGGCTTACGTGTCTGTTTGTCGCTGATAGTTTATTGGTTGCTTGCATAACTGTACTAGCCAATGGGGTGAAGTTGCCACAGCATTCAAATAGTCTATATACACTGATACCATACATGCAGTTATCATTGTTTTAATTAAATTATCATGGTATTTAAGAACATTTAAATATTAATTCATACAATTGTTGCTTATTATGCATTTAACTATATTTACATATGAATTACCTAGAAACTTGCACAAATAATTTTAATTACAATTTATAATATAAAATAATATGAAGCATTATTTATAATATAATATAAAATAATAAATTAATTATATTTGTATATGAATTACTTAAAAACTTGCACAAATCATTTTAATTACAATTTATAATATAAAATAATATAATAGCGGTCATTTCGTATGACCGCTAGACTTTCTAGTATAGATATAATCCCCAAAGCATTACCATTATAACTATAATAGGAGTTGTGTTCTCCACTGAAGATTGAGATTAGAATCTGACCAATGTGGATTAAAAAATGTCTTTTTACTTATTTATTTATTTTTGCAGCTAAATGAAAAAAAAATCCATTTAATGATATTTTTAAATAAATTCAGGTATTTTATATTTGTTTAGCAGCATACATACACAAAAAATATGAGCATTAAATTTTGTGATGGTATGTCATCATACTGCTAAAATTAGTTTCAGGGTTATGCCAGAGGTCACAGACAAGCTCGAATGACACTTATGCGATACATAATTAGGCAAGAAAAGGAATTTTTTTTAATCACTGTATGAAATTCTGTGACTTTTCAGATATTGACTAAAATATTTAAATATTTCCTGAAATTTGAAAGTATTATTTACTAATAATAAATAAATTTAGAGGGAAGAAAAACAATATTAAATGGTACAAATAACATAAAAATAATTACTTAAAAATTGAATTAGAATAATGGACAACAGTTTAGCGAATATAAATATATTAAATGGTTAGCCTAGATGACTGATTACTATTTTTTTATTTTTTCTTTTATTTTACTGCAAAATGACAAAAAAAGGTTTAAAAGATTTTGCGGCAAAATCCTAGTATACGCTAAGGCCTTAGCACGATTTTGAAAATTGTCGCCAACACCAAAATGACCTATTTACTGCTCATCATATCCTGTGTATACCATACATAGAGGTTAGAACACAATACATGGAGGCTATTCTAACCTCCATAGTACTGTAAACTAAGATTAAACAAATTTTGTTTTATATAACAATGTGTATTTTCTTTAGTTCAACATGCACTGCACATGTGAGTCTCTCGATTCTCGAGGTTACTGGAAACTTACTTTGCCTTTCTAAAAGACAATGCAATTGGAGCTGCAAAAATAGGCTCTATGACAATTTTCGCAATTTTGACTAAAATATTTAAATTCCCTGACTTTAACCTAAATTTTTTGGTCAATTTTCGAATACTCTGACTTTTTCCGGTTTACCAAGTAGTTGTGGCAACCCTGCAATAAGTACAAATGTGTTCCAAAGCACCTACCATCAACATTCATATTTTCATTACTTGATTTGAAAACTTACGCTAAAAAAAGAGTGTGATTTTATGTACATTGAGCAAAAAAAGAGGAGGGACAGTTCTATATTTCCCGTTTTACTGGGCCGACTGACGAAATTTAACATGCGTTTTTTATGTCTCGAAACCGCGACTTAGAATATGTATTAGATTTATATATAGCATTGTTCTAATATAGGTATTTTGATACAAAATCGGGTTTTTCCTGAAACGACATGCCAATTTCTTTTCCATATTTTGACTCAAATTCCCACATTATAACTCAAATTATGCAAAACTGCCAAGTTTTTTTCTTAAATTAGCTCTCAAAATTTTCGCCTCTTGAATTTGGTTTATATTTATTAATCTTTCTTTTCACCCATTTTTTATGATTTATTTTCAAAATTTGTATTTTAAAATAATTTTTACAAATTTTTCAAAAACATTTTTGAATTATGATCTATAAAATCTTTACCATCATCTTAAAGTAGGTGTATTTCTAAGCAAACCTGCAAAAAATTACAGTTTTTTATTCAAAATTTCCAAAGATAAACGTGAATTTATATATTGGTGCATTTTGAAATTTGGCATATTTGTTGAAAGCGATGAAATATCAAATGTGGTTTGGACACTTTGCTAAAATTATTTGAAAGTAGAAACGATGTGACTTTTTTTCCGCTGTGGTATAATGGAAGGGAAAGGAAAATTGCTGCCACATATTATTAAGTTCACCAAGTGAATTATTCTTGGTGCACTGAAAAAATTGTGCCAAGATAAATTTTTAATATTTAATACCTGGGCATAATTTGAGTCGTAGAATCGAAAAATGGAAAAAAAAATGGTATGCTATTTCAGAAAAAGTCCGATTTTGTGTCAAAATACCTATGTTAGAACAATGCTATATATAAATCTAATATATATATCCTAAGTCGCGCTTTTGAGACATGAAATACGCAATTTAAATTTTGTCAATTGGCCCAGTAAAACAGGAGATATAGAACTGTCCCCCCTTCTTTTTTTTCTTTTTTCGCATAAGGTATTTCTCCCGCCTTCTTAGCATACTTTTTGTGGTCAACATACTCAGTGCATATTCGAGAGGTCTGAGATTTGACTCCCGGCGAGAGCACTGCATATTTTTCATGTCTCCTGCTTCGAAATAATCTAATGTCTCTACAGTACAAAATGGCCTTGAACTGAAAACAACTTAGCTTTTACTAAAACTAGTTATCTTGGTTAAAGATATTTACTTTTTTATTAAACACATTTCAATTCAGAAGTCAAACAACAAAAATCAGTGTTATATTTTCAAATTTTTCACAGGACTAGTTTCAATGCTTTTACTGAACCACCATCCTCAGCTGCAAAACCGCAAATGAACAAGATAGGAAATAATGATTAGATAAGAAAGCCTGGACAAGAATAAGCAAGTGGCGCCATCTGTTTATGAAACCAGAACTAAAACATAATTTCTTTAAAGGCCGAAGGCAAAGATGGATTGGAGTTAGGATCGTTAACTAGAACAGAACGATTTTTTTTAAATGTGAAATTCCTCTAGAAAATCCAGTTCTCCAATGGAAGATGTTTTTGAATAATTTTGGCAGCAGAAAAATTGAAAGTGTGATTTTCGGACCAACAATGTTGAACAACAGAAGACTTCTGTATTTCATTTTTTCTAACATATGCCTCATGTTCCTTGATGCGAAATTTTAAGGCTCTCTTAGTTTGGCCAATGTAAATTAAACAACACTGGCAAGGAATCCTACAAATACCCCAGGTATTCATATCCGGAATGGGGTCCTTGAGTAGGGAACTCGGAATTTTATTGATGGGAGAATAAACAACACGAAAATTAAATTTCTGCAAAATATGTGCAACTTTATAGCTAATTGATGGAAAGAAGGGAATGACAACAGAATTTTTATAATCTCTTAAAACAAGAGTGTGCCTTTTAGTGTGTTGAGATGAGAATTTTTAACTGCTTGATTAATAATGTTGGGTGAAAAGCCCTGTCAATAGTTATTGCTTTTAAATAATTTAGTTCTTCATCAGGGGATAGTTTGGAGGAGCAAACTTGAAGAGCACGGAAAACATAGGAATAAAATGAAGCTAACTTTTGTTTAGTCAGATGACATGATTTAAAGTGTGGTGGAAGGCAAACCGATGAAGGTTTACGGTAAACCGTATGTTGTTGGATGTGTTGCGTGTGACCAGAATGTTGAGAAATGGAAGAGAATTGCAAGTCTCAAGTTCAAAACTGAACTGAATATAGCAGGATCAATAGAATTCATTGTTGAAAGAACTTTATTTAAATCATCTTTATTACCTTCAAACAGGGTAAAAGTATCATCTACGTAATGGAACCATGCTGGGAAGTTTGAAGTTCCAAAAAATTTTGATTCATAATAATGCATGTAGATATCAGCCAGGATGGGACTCAGGGGGCTTCCCATGGCTAATCCCTCAGTTTGCTTGTAATATTTATTTTGGAAAACAAAAATGTGTTTGTTTTAAACAGAGTTGAGTGACAGAAATTAGCTCATCAATTTCGATGCAAGAGAAATGAAATTCGCAAAGTCTGGTTTCTAGACATCTTAATGCACCCTCCACTGGAACATTGGTGAATAAGGATTTTACATTAAAAGAAACCATGAGTAAATTTCTAGGAGAAATGTTTTTAACCTTTTTTACAAACTCTATTGAATTTTTTATGGTATAAATGTTATTGTCTAATAGAGTTGAAAATCTAGAAACTAAATAGTTAGCTAATGGATATGAAGCAGTACCTAAATTTTTGTTGTTTAACTTCTGAATTAGTATTTGTTCAGCGTGTTATTGTGTTTTATTAAACAAATTTTAACAAATATCTCCCATTAGCACAAACTTAATACAGTTTAATAATTAGCAGACAAAAAAAAAAAAAAAAAACATTATTTTAAATTTTTTACAAATAAAACATGAAAATATTTATAATAAAGTAGGCATACAACATAGTTTCAATTGGCATAAAAAAATCTTGAAATATATGTCTTTCATATTATTACTTTTCTACAGTGAAAATGTACCTTATGAGAAATTAATAGCATAATATGTTATTATATTAAATAAAGATAATTTGTTAAGAATATTACAGGTTTTTTTACCTTAATTCTATAATATAAGCTATTTTCTGTTAACACGTAACAATTGCCAACTATAGGATTTTCCACTTTCTGTTGATGAGAAACATTGCAATAAAATTTTTTAAGCTGGAATCCAATTTTAGCATATACACTACTCAATAATACTGCCTTTTCAGAATCAGGAGTCAAATACTTCAGCAAACGGACACAGTAATGAGAAGCATCAAACACATGAGTCACTAGACCTTGAATATCACCCTCACTTGGCACAGCAATAGGTTTGTCACTTATGAGATCAATATGATGCCTCATCTGACATAAAACCTGGTCACAAAAACCAAATGCTTTCAAAGTATGACACAGAGGGATACTAGCATCTGTATATATCTATATAAGAAATAAATGAATGGTCAATTAATTACACACTCAAAAATAAAGAAATATTTATAACATTCATATTCATAACAAAACAATCCCAACATGAGTTTTGGACAACATTATTATTTCAATAAAATAACACCAAAATGAATGAAATCTCTGATGTTAAATCTAAACAAAGTACTATATAACGGGTGGCCATAATTAAACTGACAGTTGTTCACAGTGTTCTGTAGCGCGATCTATTTGTGAGAATGACGCCACATTTTGTAGGAAGATTGAACAAGACGGGGGACGAACAATTCCGTGAAAAAAAAATTAGTTCCAAAAGTCACCACTAGGGGAATATTTTGCGCTAATAGAATATAAATTGTTAACTAATGCAAATTAATACAGAATAAAATTACCTTTTATTATGCACATTTTCTGATTTAGTTCAAGTGCAATATGGCAACACTTTTAAAAAAGCGTAAAATCAACATAAACACTGATAAAGTCTCGTGATCTGTAATATCACGTACGCTGAGCAAAAGAAGAAGTTCTTTATTCAAATTTCACGTTACATCCATTCGCACAGTGCCAGCTGCTTGGGTTTTAAAAGGCAATGTGTTATGTTTCGAATCAATCGGATTGAAAGTTTATGTGCAATGTCTTCCTTCTTTAGTTGAGCGTGTGTTACTGGTCAAATTCTTTTACCTCAACCAGTGCCAACCCGTCAGCCGCTCTTCGCGCTTTTCGAAAACTCGCACAAAAAAAATGCATAAAGGCCCTGTGACCTGTGTCAGTTAATTGGCTAAAAGCAATGGTGCAACGTTTGAGAAAACAGGTATCTCTGAAGGTTCAGTCAGGCAGAGGACGAAATACCTTGTACCACAGGATACAATCGAAGCAGCTGCCACGAGGGATTGTCGACAGAGGATCCAAACAATATTGCTGCCACCTCTAGCACTCGTGGAGTAGCTCGGAATATGGATATGCTTTACAGTACGGTATGGCAAAGTCTTACGAAAGATTATCCAACTTCTATCCGTACAAGATCATCCGTGTACAAGAGTTACTGTACCCCGACCATGATAAGCGATTGACTTTTGCTCTTACCTTTCTCGCCAGAATGGAGGTGGGTGATGCTTGGCCGTGGAAAATCTTATGGGGAGATGAGGCCCACTTTTACCTGAATGGAACTGTGAATACCCAGAACTGCCAAATCCGGGATGACAAAACACCACATGCAGTCATAGCAATTCCCTTACATTCACCAAAAGTAACTGTTTGGTGTGGGTTCACAGCGGAATTTATCGTAGGTTCATTCTTCTATGGGAACATTACCCTGACAGCACCGGAAACCTGTTCTGTTACCGGAGAAATATCACCACATGTTGAGCAGTTTTGTCATTCCGGCACTTCAGCAAAGACAATGCCTGGGGGAAATCAATTTCATGCAAGATGGAGCCCCTCCACACATTGCTGTACGGGTGCAACAGATGCTACGACAGAAATTCACTACAGAAAGAGTCATTAGCCGCTACTTTCCAACTGCATGGCCACCTCGGTCGCCATGCAGATTGAGATTAAATATACATACTTAATTATTTTATTTGCTTTGCTAATGGCAATACAGTATTTTGAAGATGATATAAACATTCATTGAAATAAATGATTTTGTTGCACCTTTTGCTGTTTAGCTAAGAAATTATTTCAGATGCAATCATCATATTTGCCACTGGAGTTTATATTCAATCACGCTCAGCATGCAGTTTGTCTTAACAGGTAAACAATTGATGGCAAAAAGTTAAGTACCACGCTACTTTTTAATGCTATTTCTATTTAGATTACACAACATCACATGGAATTTTTTACACATATGGTCAAAAAATGTTTTCTTTGGTCAATTAGTTCTGATGAATTTCTCATCAGAGTAGGAGTATATGCTGAATTTCCACAAAGGACATGCTACTTATCTCCAAATTCAAAAATATACATATTGTACTGTATAGGAGTTACCATTATATATACTTTAAAGTTGCCTGTGTTATTTGCATATGAACTTCTCTGAATATAGCTCAACACATAAAATAATGAAATGCACTTGATAAAATTTTTTAATTAATTAGTTAGATATTAGAGCCCAATTAAGTATCTTTATATTTATTAAATAATAATTTAGAGACCAGTTTCTTAAAATTTTAACAACATTAAATTTAGAGTCAATTTCCTCTAAGACACTTGAAGAAGAGAATTTCTCTTAATTTTAGTGAGCTCACAAATTAGCTGCCTACACTTTTAAATTGAAACAAACTAAGAAATTGCTTTTTTGTTTCTACTACATTCTGGAAAATTTTTGAATTGCAATTTATACCTAGGAAATATCCATGGAAAATTCTGCTTACTTTAACAATTGTATGTAATTTTAGCCATTTGTGGTATCAACAGAGTGATCAAAATCTCAAAGTGGCATTTTTTTGTAAATTGAAGAAGTTCACCCTGCTTTGAATATAAAATTTTATTCACAGTACAAATTCCATTATTATCATAAAACATAAAAAAATTAAACAGTTTAATTTTTAATATAAAAAAGATAATAAACTAAGATAAGAGGGGGTTTAAAGTTTGGACATACGAGGTTTTGTTTCTTTATAAGGTCTTTCAACTCTTCTGGAACAATTCTTCCACTTCGTTTAACTATTTTCAGTAGGGAAGATGCTTTTACAGAGCAGTCTTCACTAATAAGAATGTGGCAAACACATTTTGAATTCTTTCCCTGTAAAAATTAACAAAAATTACAATCTTATGCATAAGGGACAATGCAAATAATTATGAATGACAACAAGTAATGAAGATATGCTGTTCATACATGTGTGTGAATGAAATATGTATGTGGTACACATTGCATTCACACATGAATATGAACATTAACAACAGCAGCCAAACAAAAAGACACATAGAGACAGAAGACAATATAAAAAGCCCCTTTTTTAAAGCATGCACTAAAAACAAATTAAGATAAATTAATAAGATAAAAAAAAACAGTATTAGAACTGATGCTTATATAATGATTAATCATTACAACAACCAGAACAAGAAGTGGCTAACTGACAAGAGCATACTAAATCTTCTTCTCTGTAGTGACTATTTACCATGATACAGGGTGTCCGAAAAGTCTTTCCCTGATTACATAAATTGATAACTCAGGCTAGGAAGTAAGATACAAATATGAAACTTGTGTCGAATTGTTTACAAACTATCAAAAGTTTTTTTTCTGTTTTAGGTTCGCAGTATGTAAGTAGTGGATGAGGTGCAGTGTCCAAGAAGCCATGTTAACCAATCAGGAGAAGGCACAGTGTGTCCTGTGGTACCATGAGACACGATCATCAACCACAGTGCAGAGACACTTCCAGACAACATTTGGAAGGAATCCACCTGATGTTAAGAGCATTAAGGCCTGGTATGAGAAGTTTAAGAACACAGGATCAGTTGCTGACCTTCCGAGGTCTGGTCGACCAAGAACCTCAGCAGATAGGGTGGAAGCTGTGAGGCAGTCTTTTCTGCGAAGTCTGAAGAAATCGGTGCACAGGGCCTCACGTGAATTACAGATACCAAAAAGATCTCTCCATGACATTTTACAGAAACGTTTATTGTTTCGTGCATACAAAGAACAAATCATTCAGGCCTTGTTGCCCAATGACAGTGCACGTTGATATGACTTTGCGGTCGAAATGCTATGATGTATTGAGGACGATGATGGTTATCTCAGACGAATTGCCTTTTCCAACGAAACGACCTTTTTTGACAGTAGAGTAGTGAATCTTCTTAATGTGCGCATTTGGGGTTCACAACCCCCCCCGGCGAGGTCATGGAATGCACCAGAGGTGAATGTTTGGTGCGTGCTATTGCACGATCGAATTATCGGGCCATTCTTCTTCGCTGAGGCTACCATCACACCTGCAGTGTATCTGAACATATTGCAATTGTATGCTGTTCCTCAGCTGCTTCAGTATCACCCCGATGCCTTGTTTCAGAAAGACGGTGCACTGCCTCATTGGGGTTTGGACATCCGTGCCTATATCAATATGACCTTTCCTGGGTGATGGATTGGTCGTGATGGGCCAACGGTTTGGCCTCCATGCTCTCCTGACATAACCCCATTAGACTTCTTTTTATGGGGTTATGTCAAGGACGAGGTCTACCGAACACGTGTACAGAGTACAGAGTACAGAGAACACGTGAACATATAAGAGTAAAGAAACTGAGATCACCGAGCTGGGTAACGGAGTGGATATATATATAAATATATTTATATAGGTTTGGTGCGGCCAATTGCAACCAAAATACGAGGTGCACGTGTACATGTTATAGCAGTCCTATATACAAAATTTAAACGTTCTGAGGCTACTCGTTTTTGAGTTATGCGAGATACGTACGCATGTACATACGTTCGTAGAGATGCCACGAAAAATTCTTTTTAGAATTCATTTTAAAGCAGTTTTATAATTTTTTTGATTAGATTTAGAAGATTATTAGATTTAGAAGATTTATAATAAAAATACATAAAGTCATCTAAAAAATAGGAAAAAGTAAGTATAAAAAGGTTAGACTCAGTGTATCATACAAAGTCCTACTGAGTATTTCTTAATCAGCACGAATTAGTATCGAGCTCGCTTTCTCGTAAAAAGTAACAGATATCACGTAAAAACATTGTTAAATTGCATTCAACAATGGTCAAAATGGATATTTTTGTTGAAATATGCTGCCTGAAACTTTTCATGATTACAAAATACTTCCTTTTTACTTTAGAAGGAAGTAAAAACAGACAGAAATGTCAAATGAGCAAAATTAAGGACCTTTTGCCGATTTCGGCCAAAATTAAGGACTAAAAATCACTTCCAAAGAACCTAGGGACTTTTAAGTACTTTTTAGGATTGTACGAACCCTGTAAAAGTTATCTCTTTATGCACATATTAATGACACCACCTTAATAGAATTAACCAAATTTCAGAATGTGCTAATCTCTGGCAACCTTGCACATAACAGTTCTTTCAGTTACCATGCCGATGACAGTCCTTCAGTCAGGCAATGCTCTCATTTTCATATGCATTCTTTTTGCTGTGTTTCAAATTCCAGCAAAACATGATCCATTTTTGTCTTAGTTTTAAAATATCTGCTTGTGAAATTTGCTGCAAGAATACAGAATTTTGCTCAAAATTTTCTAAAGGTGTTCGATGATAGCACAAAGCCTCAGCAATTCTCTGAAATTAAAAAAAAAAAAAAAAAAAAAAAGATCGCTGTATACTTTGGGAGATGAGCAGCATAAGAAAATTGCAAAAAGATTTGAAGAAGAATGTGTTTTATTTTTTAATGCATTATGGAATCCTTATTTTAATAATTTAAATTGCTGGTGTATATTTTCTTCGCATATGCTGATAATATTTACTGGCTTATTATAAATACTGATAGTTTGGGAAACTTTCTTAATAAAGGTGTGGGGGCAGAGAGAGACATGAAAACCATTAACTTGCATCCAAGAATTAACTTTTACCTTTTCATTTGTAAAAAATTCCCAAACTGTGCCAAGTTGGTTACATTATTACATAAGTACAGATGATTTTGCTGTTGGCATGTTGTTGGTTTTTAATTACTTGAACTCCCGTTTCCCAACAAAATTAAATATTTTTCTAAGTTTCATTTTACTTTCTTATTTTCTTCAAATTATGGATTAACAAAATTACTATGGATTAAATTTATGGATTAACAAAATTACTTTTAGATGAAAAAAAAATTTCAGTTTCTCTCTAAAAATGCTGAATGAAGCAGACTGACTATTATCATCTATCACTGTAGTTAGATCTACACTGGTTATCATAAATTAAGGAAAAATCACGATTACTGAAAAAGTTACATGTAGAATTTTATGAAACTTACCCACAATATACAACACATAGTAAGGTATCAAATAACATAAAAAGAAATTACCAGACAACTATGGTAGTATAGAAATTAGCATATGTATAAAATGAACAAATCGAAGATGTCAGTTTGCTATAACAGTACCTTCAATTATAATATAATCGCCTCTAGAAGCAATACAGCTCCTTCAGCGATGTGTGATGCTTTCAATTATGCGGTCTATCAGTTCCATAGGAAGCGAGAGCCATTGGTCTTGCAAAGCAGTTGCAAGTGTGGCAAGGGTCTAAGGCAGGGTGGCAAGGGGGCGGATTGAGAGCAGCTAAACATCTTCCTAAAGCATCACAAACATGCTCGATAGGATTCAAGTCCGGGAATCGAGCTGGCCACTAAATTCGCATAATTGTTTCTTGTTGAAGATAATCGTATACGATGCGATCCCTGTGTGGTCTTACATTGTTATCCTGTAACAGGAAACCTACTGTCCCACCATATGGGTGCACATAAGCATCAAGGATGTCATCTCTATAAACATGAGCATTCACGGTTCCCCTTGGAAAAACATGTAGGTCTCTGCGTCCACCCAAAGAGATGCCACACCAAACACAGACACTGCCTCTTTCGTATGCATCTCTTTCATGGATGTTTGAAGGATGATAACGGGTTCCAGGTTCTCTCCATATCAAATAATGCCTACTATTGCATTCTAGACTAAACCTGGACTCATCCATAAAAAGAATAGCCCTCCATTGCTCAGGCATTCAGTGGACATGTTGTAATGCCCACTGCAAACGATCCCTCCTATGGCGTGACTTGAGCAGCATGCAAATGGTTGTTCGCCTCCCACAGACCCCCTTCGCGAAGATTTATACGCACAGCTGACATTGACACCAACCTTCCGGTGGCTGCAGCAAGGGAGGATCTAAGAAGAGTCAGAGTAGCAGTTCTATTCATGAGTGCACATAATGTCAAATATCGTTCATCAGCGCTCGTTGTATCAGTTGGCTGTCCTTGGCTGAACCTCTTAGGTGCCGAATCTATGATTTGAAATTGCCTCCAAAGTCTATGAACCACAGAAGGACTAGCATTTAGCCATCTGGCCACTTCTGTTTGACTTTGTCCTGCCTCTAGTCTCCCAGTGGCTTTCTGTCATAGTTCTGCAGGCAAATGATGCCTGGAGATCATTGTTACGAATTGACTATGTCAAATTTCTGATGTCACTATCACAGTGAAATATGTAAGCTTGCTCTCAAACATGGACTTTTATGCTCCTCGCAGATGACGTATTTTGAGTGTAGCGCAACTAATTTGCATATTGGAGTTTTACTCAGCTACTCTTACTTGGCAACATATTCAAATTTTACACGGTTTGGCTTATTTTTGAGGGAGTTGTCGGTATTTTTGTGATTTTTCCTTAATTTATGATAACCAGTGTATTAGCATTACATTTTATACACTGTTTAATAAACTAAAGTAAGTTCTAACAATAATAGAGAAATATTTTTATTGCCAGAATAAAAATACTTATCTAATTTCATCTTGTCATTTAATTCTGCCTGCCTATTCTTATCATGTGGATGGCATGCATAATATAACTCATCGGTATTTGTTTCTTATATTTTCTTCATGTATTTTACTGCAATATTTATAATATATTATGGTTTCTTGTATTGACTCTAGATTATTTTTTGCTTTACCATGAAAAATGCAAAGTGGTTAAAAGTGATACTGGATTTTTTTTCCCTTCTGGATTATTTTCTTCAGTAACAAATGGGGCAATCAAGTATATTTTAAGTATTCTCACCAGTATTTTGAAAACAATTTCCCAAATTTCAAGAAAAGTGTAAAACATTACCAAGAAATAAATAAAATTAGTAACTGATTTAAAATTTTGCCTGAAAGTTAACAAAATTTAATGTATTAACCTTTTAACTGTCATGACCAAAATAATCTCAGGCACAGCACTGGTGTTCCAAAATGCCACGCCCGAGTATAACTTGGGGTAATTTTTTTAAAGCGCATCGTATTGTTATACTTGAATATATATAGTGAGAAGTTTATTTCAGCTTCAATTCAATCGATGGCTGCACTTTAGTGAAGGTTTCAAAGGACAGATGTTTGTTACATTCTACTCCAACACTTTTAGAAGTTTACTATAGCAGTACGAAATAACATTACGTATATAGGAAACTAGACATAATGAAAAGGTTCATTCATTACATCTGATCAGAAATCATTAAAAATGGATAATAATAATAATAATAATAATAATAAAGAATGATTAAACAAAGTACACTTTGCATTTAAAATAATTTTAGCAGGATTAAAGAGCAAAAAAAATTATAATGTTTAATTAAAAAAATCTAAAAGGATTTAGCTTTTAACAGTTGCCTTGCTTTCAAAATTTATAATGGTTTATTAGTAGAGATTATCTATACAGATAGGCCATTTGGAACAGTGAAGGATTATATAGGACACTAGATGAATCTACATTTAGACTAACATGGGATCATTATATATCTTCTGCATATTTGACAAGTGATAAAATATATAATGTGATTCTATGAAAATATTTAATGTTTTTATTTACATATATCATGAATTAAATGCATTTTTTACAGAAACCAACCAGATTAAAACGTAAAAAATAGTAGTCATCTATTGCTTTGCATCTAATGCAGATATTGCTTTTAAATAGCTTAGTTTGTCAATCAATAACGGGCATTTTATACTTGAATGATGAATATCTTACATTTTGCCATACGGCAACAAACTCTGAAGAAAAATGAAATGCCTTTTTGGGCTTTTTAGGCCTTTTGGGTAAAAAAAAAAAAATTCTTACATTTTATATTTGTTGAAAATAAATCTATGAACACATAATCAACACAATAGGATATCAGAGCACATTGTGATGTTTTGAAATGAAACTAGGTAAAATATAAACAGGAAATAGCTGAGCACATTTGCATTCTATCATTTACAAACTTAGAAAGTGTTTGATAATGGAATTCAATTCCCATATTCAAATGAAACAAGTTAGTAACAAAATAATATGACATCCCATTATATTTTTAAAGGCACTAGAATGTCAAGGAAGAATATAAATAGAAAATTTACTGTTTTTGTAAAATGTTCTGCAATGCAGCTGAAACGATTCCCAAATTGCAGACGAGAATCTTCAGGAACATCATAATGGATGAGGCACTCAGCATCACTAATACATAATTTTGTCAAAGATGCATCTGTTAAAATGAGGCAATGAGGAACAGAAGATGACTTCACAGACTTCCAGTCTTTAATAACCTCTGAAATTATAAAAAAAAAAAAAATATTTTTAGTTTCAGAAATACTCTTTGCACACAATGAGAAAGGAAGAAAAAAGCATGTTTCACCCATTTCCGCAATAATCAAGAGGAAAAAATTTTTAGATTCAACTACCTAGAACATTTAACTATACAGCCTTAACTGCAGAATATTAAAATAAATAAATGTGTGATAAAACATATAACTGCTACATAAAAAGGAATGTCTATTTATAATTTTCTCCTATTTTATTGAAATTACAGAATATACCAGCGAAAAAATTATAATTAAAAACCTAAATTCTGTTTAACTACAAAGGAAAAATGGAATGAGACTTTTCTTATTCTAGCCAAGCACAATTCTGCCCATTTCCAAAGAAAAGTGTCTCTCAAATGCTGAAGAAATACAAGATAATATTTTTGACTACAGACTAGCAAAAGGGAGCATATTCATGAACAATGCCCTTGTAACTTGTAGCACTTGCTTTGTGGCTCATAGAACAGTACCCCTGTAGCTGAAGAAAACAGTGAATAGTGCTTTGACAATGCATTGAATTTTTTCAGTATTACAAAGTTCAGAATTTTCTTAAGCCTTTGTAGCACAGTATGTCTGGTCTGGGCACACCTAAAAATTTCCTTCTGTATGCGCGAAAAATTGAATGAAAAAGGGATTTATAGGTTACTCTGAACCTTCTTTATTTACAGTAGATGGCAGCTCAACACGAACCAGTCCATATATTTTAGCCATGTTTAGTTTCTTAAGACCTTCATTTTTCAGAGAAATATTCCATTTTTTTTAGGGTATAAAAGGAATTGTTTGAAAAAAAAATTCTATGTAATTTTTTTGGCTGTATGCTAATCTTCTTATTATTTATTCTATATTAGTTTTAAATTTTTACCTTGAAATCTTGCCTAAAATCGAATGGCGAACCCTAGGTGTGCCCAGACCGGACTCACCGATAATCTAGGACAACTGAGAGTCTGTATTTGTTTCTCTGAATCTCATCGGCCAGTTCATTGGCAACAAAAAGGTGGATCCACATCTGTGTTTCATTTCCTGTTTTTCTCTTTCTTCTTTTTTCTCTCTCCCCCTCCCCCTTTTTTGTGGAGGGGACGTTTGGTTATCAACTAACAAACTGTTGGGGGGGGGATTTTCTAAAGGTCAACGGTAATTTTATCAGTTAGGTGTTTGGTTTTTCACTAGAGCAGTTCTCTTTTTCTCTTTCGCTTTTGTTCAAAGTTTCGCTGGCGCTATGTTTAATAGTTTTGAGTTGTAGATGTTTATTTAATTTTATTTTATAGTTTATAATTTATAATTGTAGATATAATATTAGTTTATTTTTTTCGGATTTTTAATTATTTTCCAAATGGATCCGAGAAAGCTGACCATTTCTGAAGTACTGAAAGTGCTACACAAATTGCTTTCAGATAATGAATCTGATACGTACCCCGGTACATGTGCAAAACATGCAATATTGGGTTGTGCTTTTTTAGTTTGTAAAGGTGGCATCACTTTCTTTGGAAAGAACCACCATTAAAAAAATAGACTAAAGTGCAGATATGAAATGTAAATATCATATACCCAAGTTACTTTTTTTTCATTCTTATGCATGTAATCATAATATAACCAAAAAAGAGCTTTTTAAGGGGGTGTAGAGTAGCAGGTCTCCCTGTGGCGCATCCTGCGTAATGCTACACATGCTACAGTATTCAAAATCTAGTGTTTTTTAATCGCAGGCAAAATCTCTTACTCTTTTATGCGCTTCCCAGCAATGCTCGTTTCAGCACTCTTTTTGAAGCTTTATTCAATCAGTGTGCCCAACCACAGAATTGAAATGATAAGTGCTACTTTCACAAAATTTTACTTGTGTGCTCCTCTAGGCTTAATGAGACTGCCCCCCCTTTTTTTTTAAATCAAAGCTGCAACTTCAAAAGGGTAGTGTGCCGGAAAGGGTTAAAATAAACACTGTCTTGATTTCAGGGTCACAGACCAATGGTTTTTGTTTTCACCTACTAATGATCATTTTCAAAGAGTTTTTGTTTTTCTAAGCTTTATAAAATAGCAGTTTTTGTTCTCTCATGAAAACTAGTCACATGTCCATTCAATTAATGCCACACTTCACTTTTCTCTCTGCCCCCTCTGAATTATTGGAACAATTTTAGGTGCCAGTTAAAAGTCATCTGATGCTAAGTCTGAACTGTACAACTGATAATTCATTTGTTTGTAGACAAATGCTTTGATTAAGTTTTGAGGCTGAGGAATGGTACATGGTTTACCATCGTCATGAAGCAGTATTACACACTGAAACAGTATTTTATGTTTTTTGCCATGAACTGCTTGACAAATTTTTATCAGTCTTATAGTAAACTTATGATTTCAGTGTTTGATCTGAAAATAAAAGTTATACAAGCAAAATTCTATATCAGCTCAAAACGCTGTGCATATGATCTTGTGGGTGAAACCATGTGCCTGAATTTTTAAGCTTTAGGAGATGCAGAATAATTCCACTTCACAGATTGTTACTTCTGTTGGGGGTTACATGAGTTAATTCATGCTTTGTCACTTGAAACAATAATATTAAATTGATGGACTTTCCGATAATATCAAAGAAAGAAATTGAGACAGGTGTCAACATACTTTTTCATGTGTTCAGCACAGATCACTTTGAGTATTTAATAAAACCCCACCATTAGAAAATTCAATCAATTTTTGTCAGTTTAGTTCAAAAAAGTTGAAAGACCATGAAAAGAATGAAAGTATAAAGTATTTTTCTATTAACAAGAATCAAACAATCTTTCTCAACAGACAGTCTGCTACTATTATACACAGTCTGTTACAATGTCCAGCATGTGAATATTATTACAAATTTCACTAAATTCTCACACCCATCTTCTAACTATTGAAATAAATGCAGAATATGGACCTTAAATTTCATGAATTAAGAACACTTTGCTTATGAAATATTATAACTCTAATCAAAAACATGTAAATTATGCCTAGAAAATATTATATATATATATATATATATATATATATATAACATATTACTAAAAGTTTTATTAACTCCTTAGAAAATATTTAACAATGTGAAGGAAAGTATGACAAATTATATATAATTACGAAAAAAGTTACCATCTGAAATATAATGCTCCATTTCTTCATGTACAAGATAAGATCGAATATTTTCATACTGAAGAAAATTATGTATCTCTTTTGCATGGTCTAAATAAGAAGTACATACAACTGCCTTACAAACATTTTCAATGATATCTGAAAAAGAATATAGAAATCAAAATTTACAGTTTTCAAGATTTTAAAACTGTGATTTATGAAAAGGTTGAAACACAAGCAAACAAAGTGCATATTTAAAAAAAATATTTCACAAAAATTTAATGACATTTTGCACCTCATATAAATAATTAACAAATAGAAGTATCATTGAATTTAAAACTGAAAGACATTCCTACACCTGTTATCAGCTTGAGTAATTATTCTTCATTATTAATCATCAATATTACTTGCAAATCATGTTTTTATTAAAAATTGCAATATAAAAACTTCAGTTTACAGTCCAACATGTAAAAATGATTATCTATAAATTTACAAAGAGTTTACATATAAGTGTTTATAAATAAGTAAACTTTATAATTTCATTACAATATATATATTTGTAATGAAGTTTTTAAAGAAACCTAACTATTCTGATCGAACAATAGTTTATTACCCAGACTTGCAGGAAAACTGAAAACATTTTAAGCGAGTGCATCTTCAAGCGAGGATATTTTATGCATGAAGTTTCTTTATCTTTCTTATCGGGTATTAAGTTAGTAGCACAGGAACGCAAAGACATTATAGTATTAAACCCCTTCCCTAATGGGGAACTTTTCAAAGAAAACTTTCCCTTTCATTCTATAGATTTTTCAAGATGAAATTTTCAGTTCAAATACATTAACATTGTTTACAATACAAAAATGGTCAAGAATATGTGCAACAAATACAAATAGATACTAGACTAAATGTGTTAAAGTGCCTTCCAAGTATGCATTTTAAAAAAACATATAAAATTTAACATTCTAATATTAGAAAATTTTAGGCAACAAAGTTTTAAACTTACTAGTATATATATATATATATTTAGTTGTGAGATGTCTGGATACAATGACTTAAACTGTCAACTTTTTGATGGTGCTTTCACTTTTCATGCACAACTTCACTTCATAGTTAAAAGGTTGTAAAAGCAAAGCCCATTGCAATAGACTAGGATTAGTCCTAGCATTTTTATCCAACCACACTGAAGGATTATGATCGGTCTGAATGAACTTATGAAGTCCATCTAAGTAGAATTTTAACTTTTGTATGACGAAAACAATGGCAGCATCCTCCCTTTCAATTGTACTGTATTTCTGATCAGTAAGCAAAAACGTTTTGCTAAACATTACTGGATTACTCACCCTTAACATTTATCTGTGATAATACAACACATATTCGTAGCATTCAATTCCAATATTCGAAGCATCGCGCTGAACAATAAATGGCTGCAAAAACTTCAGACTATATAAGACTGAATTTTCTGTTAATCATTTCTTGAGTTCATCAAAAGCTTTTTGGCAATCATCAATCCAATTTATGAATGATTTGCAACATTTTCCTTTTAAGAAATCTGTAAGTGGAGCAGAAATCGCAGAAAATTCAGAAATATACCTTTGATAATATGCCACAAATCCTAAAAATGGCTGGACCTGTGTTTTCATGGTAGGTTTAGGGAGGTCCTTTATAGCTTGGATTTTTACTTCTGCTGGTCTTCTTTGACCTTTTCCTACTACATGACCTAGATATTTGACGGTTGTATAAGCAAATTGATATTTCGAAGGCTTAATTTGCAGTTTTGCATTTTATGTTCTCCAAATTAATGTCTAGGTGCTTCAAATGTTCTTCACAGGTTTACACACAGATTACAGCAAATTCTTCACAGTTTCTTAATAATCCTGTCATCAAATAGCTAAAATCGTATGATGCAATTTTTAGCCCAAACGGTAGCCTTAAAAGGCTTCAAAGTGCCAAAACTTAATACAAAACTGTCCAACTGAGGTCTGAGGTCTTTTAATTAGTGGTATTTCAAAGGAACTTCGAATAAGATCTAGAATGGTTATGTTGTAGGATTCAAAAGTTCCTGGACAGAGTCTATAATGTAAAACTTTTTTGCAGTAGTGCGACTATGAGAATGTTTTTGTTTTACTACGTTCTTCCCCTTTCCCAAAAATTGTTTGTCCCAAATCATGTGGTTGAAAGCTCGCGGCGACAGTGTTTTTTGTAGGCAGGTGCATTTAGTAACCAGCGATAGAAAGGAATGGTGCCAGTTGAAAAGAGAATAAATATCAAATTTTGTGTTTGCTTGGGAGAGAGTGCTACAGATACTTTCAAAATGTTAAAGCATGCGCATGGGAGTGAAACGTTATTGAGAACGCAAGCTTTTGAGTGGCATCGTCAATTCAGAGAAGGTAGGGAAAGTGCCGAAGACGACGAACGCAGTGGCCGTCCAGTGACTTCGGGCACCAATGAAAACATTAAAAAGGTGTATGTAGTGGTACGTGCAAACAGGCAGCAAACAATTTTTCAAATAGCAGAATCAGCTGGAATATCAGAGGTCACATGCCAGTGAACACTGACTAAAGATCTTAACATGCATAAGGTGTGTTAACACTTCGCTTCCCGCATGCTAAATGTAGACCAAAAGGGAATTCGAATGGAAATGGTGGGACACTTAATCTCTGTTGACAAAGATCCTTCCCTACTTGGCAGAATTGTTACTGGAGACGAGAAATGGTGTTTTTTGTATGACACGCAAACCAAGGGAGCATTGGCAACGTGGAAATTACCACAATCTACACGGAAGCAGAAATTCCGCCAAGATCGGTCTAAAGGAAAGGTCATGCTAGAGGTATTCCTCGATATCCAGGGCATTGTGCATCTGGAATTTATCCCTGCAGGATGCACTGTGAACAAAGAACTCTACATCGAAATCCTACATCGTCTGCGTGAGTTGATCTGGAAAAAGAGACCAAAAATGTGAAACGAGCAGTCATGGGTGCTATTGTATGACAATGCTCCTGCTTACCGATCCCTATTTGTCAATGACTTTCTTACGAAAACAACTGTTTTGCCTCATCTCCTTACTCACCTGATCTCACCACCTGCGCTTTCTTTCGATTTCCTGAACTGGCAAGATGCTTGCAGGGTCGTCGATTTCAAACTTCAGATGAAGTTAAATGTGCATCACAGGCTGAATTAAAGGACATAGCCAAAAATGGATTCCAGACACACTTTGATGAACTTTACAGGTGCTGGCAAAAATGTGTTGTTGCACAAGGGTCTTATTTCAAAGGAGGATGTGTTTCTGAAATTTAATTCATAATATTTTTTACATTATAGACTCAGTCCAGGAACTTTTGAATCCTACTTCGTATATATCTGGTATCTCACTTTGCTACTAACTGTTAAATGTTTGGCAAGGGAAACTATTGTGTCCTAGTTGTCTGGTTCAAGCAACAGTAATCAATTTATGGTCTCGTCTCTTTTCCAGGAACTTCAAACAGTATGAGTGGAGAGGTAAAATCCAATTCACCTCATTCTATAACTTGAGTTTTATCATCTTGCCTACTTCACTTTTTAAACTCTCAGTTTGTCTGGCAGACATCCAATAAGGTTCTCTGCATATCGGTTCATCTGCTCATAGTTCCTCCTATCCTATGATGTTTATAAGGTCAGTACATCCCGGTTTAATAGAGATAATACAGGAATACTTCTGTATCAATTGCTTTAAATCTTTTTGCTGATCTTCATATAATAATGAACTCAACTGGATGCCTTGCAAAATTCCAGACATTTCAGTATTTGGGCTACAATTGAGACTTGGTATTTTATCTTCATAGGTCAACCTGTCTTCTAAACATAACAAATTTATATTTTCTGCTTGTTGAAAATATGGTTTCAGCATATTAATGTAGCACACCTGAGTTTTATTTTTCTTGGAAAATTCGACTACATAATTTGTCTCTGATAATTGTTGAACATTTTCCCAGGATCTACCAGGGTTCGTACACATTTCTGCACAAGGAAGTTAAGTACTTTTAAGGACCATCAATGAAAAAAAGTAAGGACCTATGAGCAAATGGGAACTGAATAAATTCAATTAAAAATATTATATCTATGCCTGAACGTGAGTAGGATGCATTATTATTAAACATAACTTAATTAACATAATTATTAATATGTTTGAGAATAAAATTAATTTTATGAAATTTACCAAGTAGCATTAAATATTTTACATTCATAGAACTCAATTTCATAGCCACATTTTAGTTAAAAAAAATAAGCACCTATAAGCACTTTTCAACCACATTTTAAGAAAAAATAAGCACCTGTTTAATTACATTAATTACATATATACACAACTGCATAACCTTAAAATAAAAATGAGATTTAACTGTAATTCAAAACCAAAGAAATTCAGTATTTAAAGAGACAATCGGCATTACTCAACCATGGGAAGCCAATACAATTATTTTTTTAATTGCAAATAACAGTTTAACATACAGTAGATAACAAATGTTGCTCTTGATTTAAAAAAAAAAAAATATTTGTAGCCCAGTTATCACTGTAAACATACAGATTGTAAAAATATATTTATAAACAAAAAAATAGCCCAACAAAACTGAGTCTGCTGCTTAGCAAGCACAGTAAAACTATTGCAGAACTTTTAGCTCTATTCAATCCATATTGGAAAGTGACAAAATAATAATAATAATAAATAAATAACAATAACCAGTCCATTGCTGCGAACTGTAACGGTTTGAATATCCGAGATTTATCACAGAAAGGGAAGGATCCGAAACCTTAAGAACCCTAAAAAAAATTGAAAATATAAGCCCAAAATTCCCAACTTTGAAGATACGCATGAAACGCAGAAATAATAGGAAGAGGGGGGAATATAGTAAATGAATAGTATGACAAAAGCTTTTCAAAAGCAGAAAATGAAAATTAGAAAATAAATAAATAAATCAGCGGTCCATGGGAGATTTAAATTTTTTATTTTCAACCAAGAATTAATAATAATTAAATAGAAAAAAAGTTTACTTAAGATCCATGTGATGCTTTAAAGCAGACTCTCCCATACTTGCTATGTTGATTTCAGTTTTACACCAGGAACACATGGCTTTGCGATTATTTTCGCTTTGTTTAAGCCATTCAGAATATTCTTCCTTAGAAAGCCA